ATGGAATCCGCCAAGGTTCCCCTCGTGCTTTATCATAACGGAGGGTGCTCAGAGGTATTCAGAAGGCATGCATAGCATGACTGTTCCCTGTGGAGACACATGATGCCTGTCCTTGAAGGAGCAGATGTCTCCTACTGGGCCACAGAAGTGGGGCTTGTCACCAGGGGACAGAGAGAGAAGCACTCAGGGTCCCCAGGCCGCTTGTGCATTTTGTGCCAAATGGACTTGCTGGCATTGCGCGCCTGTTCCCCTTGCATCTAGGCTGGCCCTGCAATGGCTAGGCCTGGGACATCAGGCCATGCTGCTAACTCCTTAAGGCAACTTCCTGTCCCCACCCCTTTATCTCCCCAGCCAGACCAAGGAAAGGAAGTCGTCCTCTCCCTCCAGAGGCACCTCAGGAAGAATAGCATGTCATGAGAAGGTGGGCCTACTTCTAAGTCCCTCCTCCTCTGTGTCTGCTGCGAGTCCTCTTCCTAAACAGCGGTGCGTGCAGTCTCTCCCTGGCTGCACAGAGCCTTCCTTTACCCACTGTGGTCTTCTCCAGTGAGATCAATTCCACTTCCACAACCTCAGATTCCAGTCACATCAACCGATCTCCATTCCTTCTCCAAGATTTGCTTTCTCCTTGTCCTTGTCCACACTGTCACCTTCTCTGGGAAGGCCACTCTTCTCTGCTGTTTGAACCCCCTTAGGACATTCTCAGCTAGGAGGGTGAATTTGTGATGACCATTAGCATAGGATGCCCCTGAAAGAACCTTTGATGGTATGGATGGTACTCATGGAGGGACACACCAATTGGAGGCTGCCAGTGAGAATTCAGGCAAACACAGAAGCACGGGGCATTGGCTAATTAGGAGCCCAGGGGATGGGAATGATGGGAATGAAAGGCAAGGAGGGTTGCATCTCATTGCTCAACACCTGAACCACCACCTGTTAAATGCAATTCTTGGCAGTGCAATAGAGCAGGAAAAGCAGATGAGATGCCAATACGGGAGAAAGAGAATGAATGATCATAGTGTCTGTCAACGTTCATATTGTGGGGATATATCTTATGTTACAACCTCATCATGTAGTCAGGGGTTTAAGGCCCAGAGAGGAGCTGGAATCTGCCCATGCCCACACAGCTCTCTGGCTTCCCTCCTAACTCCACATTTACCTACCACAGTGTCTGTCACAAAGGCACACTCTCTTGTCCAGTTATGTGCTCCAGCTACCAGCACCTGGCAATGAGAGGAGTGGGCCTGGCTGGCAGGAAGGGGGCACACTGGGCCAGCCTGCCTGCATAGCCTCGGCAGGAGGCCGAGTTAACCAAAACCCTGATTTGCCTTGGAAATTGTTGTAGCAGCCAAGCTTGTTGTCCTTGAGTCATGGCTTTAAAAGTGGGAGTTATCCCCATGGAACAGAGAACAGGCCACTAAGGATCCTAAGAGCCAGACCCTGTGTGCAAGGTTGGGTAGGGTCTTAAGGTGGACCTTGCTCTGGATTCTTCCAGGCTAGAGCTGAGTTCGGGTGGCTGGTCAAGTCCTCAGACCAGTCTTGATTGCCCTGGCTATAGAGTCTGGGGAAGCCCCCTCCACTCTCCACCTATAGTCAGACAGTAGGTGGGATGGACCCTTGTCTAATTCTAAGATCGCTGGCAGACTGTAGTCATGTGACCCCCCCAGGAAAAAGTGGCGCCTTTGGCTTTCAGAATGGAGCAGTGGAAAAAACTTACATCTCTATTTGTGGGCACCCAACTTCCTCTGCCTCACTCTTGCTTGTGGTCACACTTTCCATGACAATGCTGGGCCATTTGCTGCCTGGAGGGACCAGCTGTCCTGACTTTCCCCCTCTCTGCCCTTTGGGGCCTTCCAACCCAGCTATGCCTTGTCCCCACCCAGAGTTCCCTGTGTGGGCAGCCAGCCCAGCTCCCTGGGGATATCCTGTCATTGTGGCCCAGTGCCTGGGCTCTGTTTTTGCCCGGTTACCCCCAGTGCCCTGGGTCCTTTCCAGGTCTCCAGGTAGAGCCTGGGAGTTCAGAGATGTGAGCAGAGTTGACAGAGGCAGCCAGGTCCTCCGCATAGCAGGGTGGCCAATCTCTGTGTCTAAGACACTTGATGCCTGGGTTCTGGCCACCTCAGAGCAGAACGAGGAGGGCTCTCTGATCTGACCCAGAGCTGGCCCTGTGAGTGTCCATGGAATGTCCTTTACCTCTTTGGGAGACTTTTCCTCATGCCACAATTTATGGCTAACCCAACCCTGGTTCAGGAGACTAGGGGAATCTTTTACCACTGGGTGGTGACTCCCAGAGTGGTTAGCCACTGTGGGTGTCACTGGACCTTGGGGTGGAAGGGAATTTCTGTGGGGCTGTGTTCCTGGCTTCCAACAACTGCACTCCATGAAAATACTAGAATTTGCAAGTTGAGTTCTATTTGCCTCAAATTTCCTGGAACCACACCCCTCAGTTGCATATTCAAATCAGTGCAGGCCCACCTGGCTGATTATTCACAAAGGTGGCTGCTGGAGGAGGTGAAGAGGGGAATGCCTCTGGAAGGGCTACCAGGCACTGCCTCTATGACAGCATTGCAGGTTGGCTAGTTAGTTAACTAGCTACCTTGTTGTGAGATAGGGTCTCCTTAGCCAGGCTGCCTGAAACCTGCCATCCCCCTGCCTCAGAAGAGCTGAGATCACAAGCCTGTGCCATTACACAGAGTTCTTCACCGTATCCTTTCTTTGAATGTCAACTTGTCTATGCCAGATGAGGCAAAGCCACACCCTGGTGAACAGTGGATCAGGGAGTTCGCCCAAGCCTTCAGTGGCTGCAGTGCTGTGGATGGAAACAGCCAGCTATGTGCACCAGTGCCCTGGGCCCTGTGGGGCTGGTCTATTAACTCAATTGGCCTCCGATATCCTTGTCTGTATCCGATAGACCCTGTTACAGCCTGGGAAAGTGCTGAGGCTGGGCTCCCAGCACCCTCTTTGAAGTCTCCAAGAATCCTACCAGCCACCCTTGGCTAGGGGGAGGCGCTCCACCTGCAAAGGCCGTGCTGAAGTTCTACAGCTGAACAGAGGCTTTGTGTCCCAAAACCCCAGTTTTCTCTGTATGAAGTGAGAAATGCAGGGGTTCCGTGTCATGGTCACCCTGGAGCTGACTGTGGGGATGCCCACAGAGGGGAGCAGGCTGTTGCTCCTGAGCAGTGACCCCTGGCTCCAGGTCTATTCTCAAGAACCCAGCTTGGCTCTGGCTTCTGTTCGCCAGACTGTCTGTGATCTGAGCAGGAAGCTGGCCCTGGGTAATACCCACCCAGATCCTGGAGGCAAGAAGCCAGCAAGCAGGAACAAAGAACTTTCCATGGCTCCAAAGTTAATGAGGAACTGACACTCTTGGGCCTCAACTGGTCTTTCACCGTCCTCTCCTTCCCTCAAATTTCCATCATTGCTGATATTTACGTTGGAAATGTGCCCAGGACTTCAGGAACCTGCAGGAACCAGTGGAAAAACAATACAGAACTGGTAGATGGATTCCTAAAGGTGGTGGCAGGTTTGCGCACTTTAAAATACATTGCAAGGCAGCGAGTATCAAAACTGAATGGTTGCTTAAATTAACTCGGTAGATCTCTATCAACTGTAAGACACTGGTGAAATACAAAGAGGAAAACAATGAAGTCTTTCCTTCAGGAGGGTCACAATCCAGAGGGGACCCTGTACAGCATGTCCCCCAGTGAGGGTTAGGAGCCTGCTTGATGGAAGACAAATCTGGAGTGAACCCCCTATGTGCCTGTGTTACCTCAGGAAAGTTCCTATCTATATGTCTGAGTCTCAGTTTTATCATCTGTAAAATGGGAGTAATAATGGGCGCTGCCTCAGTAGAGTGTCGTGTTTACTTGAGGAAATGAGTGGCATTGCCAGCTGGCCACCCGACAGGGGTCACTCCCCATTGCTGACAACAAACACACCCTTTGCTAACAAGCCTGACTTTGCTGCAGGTAGCACAAGTATCCAGGCCGAGTTCAGGAATCATGAGAGGTCTAAGCCAAGTGTCCTTCCTCTTTGCCAAACACTGGATTTTCCAGCTTCCCAGCAGCCCAGGCTGACCGTGTCACTAAAATCTAGCCAATGAGGTATAATAGGAAATTTGCTGGTGTGGTGTGGTGGTGGTGGTGGTGTGTGTGTGTGTGTGTGTGTGTGTGTGTG